ACCGTGGCCCCGACTGACAAGCTGAAAGGACCTTGAAGGGGCCACTGTGGGAGCCTGTCGGGATCCCCGCGACCGGCAGCGGGGCCACCAGTCTTTCCTTGGAGGGGGATCCAGGCCGTGTGCCTCAGTGGCGGTCACTCTCATCTCTATATTAATAAGAGCAATCGCTTAGAAAGAATACTAGCATCTTCCATTTCCTCAGCACTTACTCCGCACCGGCTTGTGCCAACGTGTGTGTGTGTGTGTGTGTGGGTGAACTCATCTGACCCTCACAACAGCCCCGTGAGGCATGCACTATTTTTGCTCCCGTTTTATAGATGAGTAAACTGAGGCTCAGAGAGGGAGAGTCCCGCCCAGGGTCACAAAGCTGGTAAGTGGCAGAGCTGGGACTCAAACCCACACAATGAGACGGTGAGCCCCAGTTACACATGAGGACACGGAGGCCAGCATCGTACTTCCTGGCTGTCCACCATCACCTTGCGGGGACCCTCTGCCCTACCCTGACCTTCCCAGACACCCCCTCCCACTGCGTCAGCCCTGAGGGACGAAGGCAGCGAATGGGGGTGGGGAGAGGGTGTCCAGTCTCAAACCAGGATGTTGCAATCCTCTGACTCAGCGTGGTGCGTGCAGACCCAGCAAGAAGGAGAAAGGGGAAGATTAAGGGTTGGCCGAGTCCCCACGTGGGCTGATCCTGCTCGGTACCAGCAGCTGCCAAGGCCCCAGGGTGGGGAGGAACCAGGAGGTACAGCCATGCTCTAGGAAGCTGGCCTGCGCTCACCCTGGGGGTGGGGTAGGGGCAGCCTTGGGGAGCGAGTTGTCTGCAGACCCAGAGCCCAGATGGGAGGCTGCGTGGCCTTGAACTAGTCGCTCCCCATCGGGGCTCACAGTATCTGCCCTCCTGTCTGTGACATTTACTTGCTCTCCCTGAGCCCCTCTGAAGTCTCACCCTGTCCCCCCTGCTGCACCGCCCCACCTCTCTGCTCCACCCTCCCCGCGCCTGGGGGTGTGGACCGTGCTACTCCTCACAGGTGCTCCTGGGCACAGGCCTGGGCCGCTCTGGGCCTGTTTCCCCATCTAAACAGCTGCTTCCCAGGAAATAAGGGCCTAGAATTGAGCTGGGAGGGAAGGCCTGTGGTCTCTGGGACGAATGACCACACCTCCCAGCCAGCGGGTGCAGCACCCAGGGTGCCGGGATCACAGAGACCGGGCTTACAGTCTTGGCCCTCACAGCATGACCCCAGGCACCGACCTCACTCCATTCGCCTTCTCCGTAAGGTGGGGGTTTTGGTTGAATTTTCCTCATAAGCTTCTCAAGAGGATTAAGTGGGCCAATTCCTAGTGGGAGCTGGGCCCAGAGTGAACGGGACCCTCTTATCTCATCTCTGGGTGGAAAAGGGAGACAGGGAAGGCCTGGCCTGATGGGTGGAGGCAGGCAACGCGGAGACGGGAAAGGCTATCACTCATTCATTCCCTCTGCACACCTGCTCTCTCTTCATCTGCTCCACCGCCCTGCAAGGCAGGCGCCGTAACCATCCCCAACGATAGTCCCTACAAAGGCAGAGAGAGGGAAAGCCATCTCTCCAAGGCCACACAGCAAACACATGGCAGAGCCAGGGCTCAAACCCACGTCTCTAAGCCGCCATGTTGAATACTAATTCCCTCAATGACATGAGTCCTGCTGATGATAATATTAATTACTATTATTATCCCTATGGCTATCAGAGGAACAAAATCAAATGCAGCTACATTGAATTGACCACTTTCTTTTTTTAAATATATTTTTTAATTAATTTCAGAGAGGAAGGAAGAGGGAGAGAGAGAGATAGAAACATCAATGAGGAGAGAGAATCATTGATTGGCTGCCTCCTGCACGCTCCCCACTGGGGATCGAGCCCGCAACCTGGGCATGTGCCCTTGATCGGAATCAAACCTGGGACCCTTTAGTCTGCAGGTCGATGCTCTATCCACTGAGCCAAACCGGCCAGGGCGAATTGAGCATTTTCTATCCCTCGGGCCCTGTAGGGTGGGAGCATTCTTTTCCTAATGGACTCTGTTTTATACATCGAGATGTTTTACGGAGAGCTGGGGCTCTATCAGGGTAAGTCACTAAGCTACTGAAAGTGAGAGACAGGACTTACACCCAAGCCTCAGCTGGGAGCAAAGCAGGACAAGGCCAAGCCCTCTCCTCTCCTTTCAGAAGGGGAAACTGAGGCCCCAAGAGCCAGGCCCACAGCCTTCTAGCTGGGGCTTCATTCCCCTCTTGGGACCTTGAACAGGTACAGTCTTGGCCCTTCCTTCCCTGGGGGGAGGCAGTCGGCGGGAAGAGGCCATCTGAACGGGTACAAAAGACGATCTGAGTGAGGGAAAGTGGTGAGACACCAGGCAGGACTTCCGGGCCTTCTCTGGGAAGTTTCTGGGACTCATCCAGGGGCAGCCCCTGCCAGCAGGGGGCCTCCACAGTGCAAGGCCCAGCGAGGGGAGACCCTAGTCCTCCCCTCCTGGGGCGCAGGGAATCAGGGGGGAGAGAGGGGGCCGGCATCCTGGTTCCGCATCCTCCATTCCCGACACTGAGGGAGGTGCTGTGGGAGCAGGGACTTTCCTGAGCAGCAGAAGATTCTGGGAAATCAGAGACAGCTACAGGGCGGGGCTGACGCCAGGCCTCCCTCTCCTCCCCTCCCCTGAGCCCCTGCTGGTTCCGCAAGGAGGCCCTCCTCCAACTGCTCCTCCTCCCACAGGCCGTGCCCTCCACCCTCAGACCCTCCAACCCTCCGACTCTATCCGAATTCACCCCCTCAGCTC